ATATATATATATATATATATATATATATAGATAGATAGATAGATAGATAGATAGATAGATAGATAGATGTGAACAGACTGAGATAGATAGATGTGAACAGACAGATATATATATATATATATATATATATATATATATATATATATATATATATATAACATATATGTGAACCGATATATATAGATAGATAGATGGAGAACAGACCAGGATAGATATGAACAGATATATATATATATATATATATATATATATATATATATATATATATATATATATTTTAGATAGATAGATAGATAAATAGATAGATGTGAACAGACCGAGATAGATCATATTTTAATTTACGCATAATGATAAAGGATGAATAGCTATCACCATTTACAGTAGGGCTAATATCATCATTTTTGTTGTTGCAATCACAACGTTTCGGCCATGTGCCATCCTTCATCAGGTATCTAACGATCCAAGTAACCTTCAGAGAATTTAGAACCCAACCTTTCATTCAATTCGCTGGGTTAGATTGTGCTTATTCTGCTCTCCTTGTGTAGAGATAAGTTCGCGTACTATGACTGCCACAGTTAAAAGTTTTTTCTACACCCCCTCTTTATTACGTCATACATACATTATCCAGTTGAGTCCATCGTTACAAGAAGGAGAGCAAAGCATTGAGTGTTCGTATTTAATCACTGCCACATGTAAACTGTCACAGATATATATATATATATATATATATATATATATATATATATATATATATATATATATATATATATATATATGCTTCTATATTACACATACTTTATCCCGTTCTGGGCATGACGATACACTACATCCGGCAGCAAGGCCTCTATTCGGATATTTTGCGGAATGTGGAACCACCACTTAATTGCTATTGTTTCCAGGTTCATCCTGACCCGGTTTGATAGCACCTGTTAGGGCCCCAGCTATGAGTGAATAGTTACCCCCCATTTTTATAGTAAAAATACCAGCAATACATTTTCATAAAAATAACGATTACCAGCAATAGATTTCCGTAAGAAAATGAATTACCAGCAATAGATTTTCGTAATTTAAAAAAAAAATTTTGTAAAAAAAAAAAAATAAAATAAAATAAATTAGCAGCAATACATTTTTGTAACCCCCCCCCCAAAAAAAAATTAGGAACAATATATTTTGGGGAGCAAAAAAAAAAATAGCAGCAGTACATTTTTGTAACCTCCCCCACGCACAAAAAATTACCAGCAATACATTTTTGTACCAAAAAAAAAAAAAAATATCTGCAATACATTTTTGAAAAAAAAAAAAAAAAATTCCAGTAATACATTTTCTACCCCACTCAAAACGTGCCAGCAGTACATTTTTGCAACAAAAAAAAAAAAAAAATACCAACAATACATTTTTGTAAAAGAAATTACTAATGCTCCAAAGAAAAGTAAATTTCAGCATTAAATGACCCATAAGGAGTTGATATGCCGCAAACCAAACCAAACCAAGCTTTATCCGGCTGAGTCCATTTCTCCAAAGAGTAAAGACAAAAACATCGACTGTCTACGTACTATGACTGCTACAGTTCAACAGCCACAGCTACACTATATCTTTACCTCTTACGTTACACATATCTTATCAGAATGGGTCATTTTAAGAGAAGAGAGAGCATGCAAGCATCAATTCTTCCAGTTTCTAATTTTTTCTCACTTCAGTTTATTTTCTCATTCTCCGTGTAGATAGTTTTTTTTAGGTATGTATAAATTATCTTGCCCCTGTTTATACGTAACAGCTTTATCTGCTTTCAGTGTTTATACAAAAAATAAAACAAACATAGGTACAGAGGTTATCTGCCACCCACTGAATCGATTGCGTAAATGGCTTCAAGACCTTGGTATCGCCCTTGGGTATTTTCCAGAGAAACGGGTGGGCTGATAACCCAAATGACAGAGTGGAACGCAAAGAAGCAACGCTGACTTTGAGTGTAGAAACGAAGAAACTATATAAGGGGTGGATTACACATGTCTAAAATGGAAGCAGAGGACTGGAGGCTAAACAGAGACGTACGTTTGCTACCCGATCAGATCCAAAATTTAGAACAAGGGTACTTAGATTCTAACTCGGCTGGGTATCAAGTCCTCGTATAAAAGGTTATATGTTCTATTAATCTTACATTTTAAATACTTTCATTCTTCTTCTTCTTCTTCTTCTTCTTCTTCTTCTTCTTCTTCTTCTTCTTCTTCTATGTGCAGGCTCCCTTCAGGATATAGGCGATCATGACTCTCCAAAACTTCCTGTTTACAGTTATCTCATGTTCAAAGACCGGCTTTTTGTACACCTTTCTGAATATCCATACACCCTCTGCTTCTGCCATGTTATTCACCATCCTGTTGATGGCTAAAAACATTTGAAGCTTGAAACCTCGGCCTGCAGCAAGATGCAAGCTGTGCTATGAGTAATTTACTCTGTGCACAACTTTTGGATTGGATTTTGAACGCTCTGTTGACATCAATTTGGACTCCTGGAAGTGTTCACTCCAACCAAGTAAATTATGAGAGCAGAGTGTCTGCTCCATTTAGTTCAATACTAAGATTTCCAAAGGGAAAAATGATAGTCCCAAGAAAATATGCCATCATGGCTCTTTTGAGAGGCATCACTGGAACGATGAATCAAATTTCGTGATTGAACTGAAAGAAAGAGAAATTTCACAATAAATATAATTTCAAACAAAACATTTCAATAAATACTCTTGCGAAAGACATGAATCCACCTGCCACCGCCCAGCTATAGGTTAAATAACTGCGTAGATTGCGCTCTTAAGCCTTAGCTGGTAGTCACTCTGGGAGAAACAGATCCTGAATTACCGTCTATCCTATTGAACGGATGGTCTCTTTAGGCGACCCCTTGTCTTGTTGGGACTTAAGCTTACCCCAGGCCTCAAGTGGAACACGTATATACGATCCACCCTTAAAGATGCTGGAAAAATTATCGGTTCCGTGTGCCGCTTCTATCTAAAAGAGCCAGATCAGACCGAAAATAATATTGCCATATCTGATGGTAATGTCCAAATGATCACTTCCTAGTCTTGTTAGAGTTCAAAAGCGTTTACGTGGGTGATGAATCGTTTTCCACCCTAGAGCCCCTTTTCTCACAGATGCAACATTGCAAAATTCTTGCTATTCTACCGCTATATCCATGGGTACGTTGAAACGAGCTACATTCCCTTGTTCCCCACTTCAAGCTAAGATCCACCACACCATATACATTTAGGCGAACCACTCTCATTCCTATCGTATTCCACTCAGATAGCTTCTTCCAAAGAACTTTTGCTTCGTGAAACAGGATCCCGGGGGTGGATGCTTTCCCAACCATTCCGATCTTATCTCCTAAAATCTACGGTTAACCATTATCTTTCCTACATATCCATAGAAACTCTCCCGTTCCTCTTACCACTCACACAAGAACCACTTTCAGTAATCCTCAACCTTGGGTGGCCCCCGAGCCTTGTATTAGGCGAACATTCGTTAAAAAAGAATTACTCTAAAATCAAAACTGTAGAGAAGGCAAATCTCTTCACTATCTTTTCTCAGAGAGCCATGGTTTCTTATATCCTGATGGGATGTAGCTTTTTGAAATTACTTTGAAAATACCTAGATACAGGTAAAATGTTTGAGGAAACCCTACATTTCCTTAAAACATCTTGAAATAGGATATGTTTGCATTTTAGCAAAGCGAAAGATAACATTTCTGTAATTGCAATGTATTTGCTTTTATTTAGAAAAAAATAAGCAAGTAACAATGAAAATTATCCTACAACAGCATCATATTTTCTTTTCTTCAATAAAACCACCGTCTACCTTAATTAATACTTTACAAATTCTTGGCATTCTTTCCAACACTTTTCGAGAAAAATGGATAGCAGACTTTCCCAAACATTCTTCAAACACCGAAAAAGCTCACTCTTACTCTTTGCGTATTCTCTTCGAATTCTCCTATCTAATTCAAACTAATTCAATCAAGGATGGAACAGGAGATTGAAGTATCCAGGTAATTATTTCCAATATGTTGTTTCTTTTTTGACTCGAAGTAATTTTTACATAATTTAGAAGAGGGTTTTGGAACCTGGTCTTATTGAAAGGTGAATTATGCGTAAACCAAATGGTATAGCATGTCTTTGCAAAATCAAATGATATTGCTCTTTTTTTATGATTCCCAGCTTTCTCTCCCAGCAAAGCACCCTACACCATAAAAGACCCCCCACCATCATGCTTAACTATTGGAACCATACAGTCATCATTCAGTCTTTCTCCGGGCTTAAAAGAAATTGGCCCCAAACTTTTTGCCTGTAGTTTATATCAGCCAAATAAATAAAAAATAAAGCGAATACGTTATTGACATAAAGATGATTTAGTTTCGTGTAATTATAAATAAAGTTATGACTTTTCTAATATGGAAGAAAGTGACGTCACTCAAGAAGTCCAGCTAAAAACAATTCAGAATAAAAACTTTTATTCGTTTACGAAAGATAAAAAAAAGGTTTAGAATAATAGATAGTGGAAAGGTTGAGATGGACGGGTTCCTATTTTACACTACCTTTTACAAAAGAAATGGTTATTGAAGCCCATGGAGAGATGATTCCGTTGTCGCGAAGGGATTGCGAAGTTCAAAGGAATTCAATTTGATTCAGATTATAAACCACACCGTTTATATACAAATACCGCGTTAGGCACTTCGAGGCGGTGTAATGGTTAACAAGCTTGTCTCGTTAGAACAATTACTACTGAGTAGTGAGTTCGATCCTTACTGGTTCATCATACTTTCGGCCTTGTGCTACATCTAGGCTACGCTTGGAACATCAGGGCACCTCAAGGTGGTGTAATGGTTAGCCAGTTTGTCTCGCTAGAACAATTACGACTGAGTATTGAGTTCGATCCTCACTAGCTACTCATATTTTCCGCCTTGTGCCACATCTAAGCTACGCTTGGAAAATCACTATACAAGTACAGTGTTTTTTTTTTTGTGTGTATAATTAATTTTGAGTATAATACAGGTCGTGTTTCTGAAGCTATAAACATCCTTGAGTATAACCCGAACCTGTAGTACGGTCATTCCTATGTAGATGTAAAGACGTTCATTTACGTTTGATATTTAAAGAACAAATATTGCTGACAGATCAAATTCCTTTTGTAAATAATTGTTATCAACACCTGCCTAATCCGTGTCTTATCTATTGCATTAATTAATAAATTAAGTTTGATTTCAAGCTTGCTATTTCAAACGAGAGAATTTTTAAACTGAGTAAAAATTTCTGAAAACATGTACTTTTATATAATACGATCCGAGTAGTTTCTAAACACATCTGTTTATCATCTCTCAGTTGCGTTTCTGTCTTTGGGCAGAGTGCACTCAGGGGCTTCTCTATCAAAGGACAGAAGGGCAACTGAGGGGAATAATACTGAAGAGGTGCCCAGCCCTGGCGAACAGCTGCCCGAGGGCGCGCCCTCTAATGGCACCAGAGAGAGGGATCACTGCATTTTTTGTCCCTTGCCCGGGTGTTCGTGCTCGGGTTCCCACCTTAAAAAAGATCTTGTGTCACATCTGGTCACATCTGGTCTCAGTAGGGAGACAGCATAATTTTATCTTCACTTTGACCTCTTCCTTTTTGGCAGTCTGGTCAGTAAAACATAGGACTTATTCAAAGAAGACTTGACGGTCTTGTGTGCTACAAGCAACGTATGACTAGAGAATGTAGAAAACAGATACATAGAAATAACACATTACATCAAGCAACCGACTAAGTAACTTGAGACCTAAAAGTCCTGTTTTGCTGAGTAAACTAATGACTCACCCTGACAATGGAGATACTTATTTTAAAAGTGTGTATTTATTTTTTTCATATCTTTTTGATGTCTGCCAAAAATGTAATCCTTGGTGCAAAAACAGAAAATTAAAATCTTTAATTCAAACACTATCGCAAAAAACTAGGCCCAGAAAATAGCACTCCATCAAAAAAGGTTATAAGATAACTCAAATGAGTATTGGAATATTCCCAACACCACCATCAAAAATAGCAATCAGATCAATGTAAATAGCCTGATATAACTCAAAAGAAATGTTCAAATAAATTAGCATCGTCTTTCCATTCATCTTCTTGTAGAGCCTGATTAATGTTGTTGCAACATTGTTATACACGTGAGACCATGTTTCTGGCAAGAGCAAATGTTTGTGCCGAAAGAACTCTTGGACAAATTCTTGCACTTAAAACGCACAAATTTCAGTAGTTCCCCCAGGAGCAGAATCTAAATCGGTAAGAACTGGGGCCAAAGAACCATTTCTCATTTCCCAACACCATCTGCAAGGATCAAGTTGGCAATGACGTAAGGTCTTCCAAATCATGACTTAAAGATGGGCACAGAGACAATGGAACAAAGCTGACCTTTCAGTTGAATGCAGTCTTTCAGGCTTTAACTTCTTTGTTGACGTTGCGACATCCTCCATATCTTTGATGTACATGAGGGAGTCCAATGTGTCGTCTATTTTTTTTCCATACATCTTGAAAAAAATCTGCGACCCTGCTTGGGCTGGAAGAGCAGTTGCATCAGCTAGAGTGGCGCAACAAGACGGGATCTCATTTGATTTGTGAATAAGCCTGATTATACATTATTTACATTATTCGGACTATTGTCCTCATCTTTGTCACCATAATTTCGGCCGTTGCACGCTCCAGCCTTCTTCAGGTGGTTGGAATGTCGAACCGAACCCTTTATATCGCTCACTGGGGTAGACTGTTCTAGTTCCACGTGCCATGTTTAATGGATGTCAGTTATCATTTCCTGTTAATTTCCCTCTGAAAGTTCTCCACTGCCTTAACCGGTATTGAACTCACACTCTTTGGGTGCTGTCACTGGCTCTAACCAACGCCTTTGTCCACTGTGCCATGTGTCCAAGGGTTCAGTTCGACATTCCAACCACCTGAAGAAGGCCGGAGCGTACAACGGCCGAAACGTTGTGATAAATATGGCGACAAAGATGAGGACAATAGTCTGAATAATGTAAATAATGTACATAATACCTTATCTCAGAAATGTAGACAAGCCTGATTATCTCACAATTTCCATGACCCAAATGCATGGATGACTGACAAGTTTTGCAGAACGGAGGAGTTTGTCTTCTCGGAGATTTCACAGATGCTAAGCACCTTCATATTTTCCCGAGACCTCTTTCACTCGGAACGCATATAGATGTCAGCTATGTCTGGGGAAAAAGTAAAAGAACAAGGATGTCTGTATCATCAGCTATTACATTCACTAAATTTCCTTCAGTAGCTAGTTTGAGCGTTTCAGAAACAATGTTCGTGCCTGCGTACCCCTCACTTTGGACCACCCAATGACCGTCTGCTTCCAAGGAACGACACAACATATTGATAAACTGATCTTCTTGTCTGATAGGAACAGCTCTTGATGAGCAGCAACTTGTAATCCATCTTCGAAGTCCGAGATGCGCTTCGCTGATGTTCATGGTCTTTTATGGACAAGCCTGCATAATCATAAAAATAATGCTTGACGGCCCGTACTTGGCCTTCTCGTAGCTCAGGTACTGTGCAATCATGTCGCTGTATGTTACCATAGTCAACAACTTCACTTGGTGGAGGAGAGCGCCTCAATCTTAAACAAATATTGTGTCAGTTGGTGGTTGGGTTTCACGTAAGTCAGTGTTCAGATGATATTTCAGCACGGACTTGTCTTTGTCATTTGGAAATTCTTGGAAATTCTTGAAAATTGAAGTTGGAAATCGAGTTCGAACTTGAAGAACAGAGTCACATCTTCGCCTCTTTTGAGAAAAAAAACCAGTCTTGAAAACTGAGCCTTAGGGGTCAACAAGAACATTTTGATCATCAATCTTTACACATTTTTTCGGCTCAACAAGCGCACGCACTTATTTTCGGTGAGCTTTCTAAAACGTTCACGTTTACAACTTCTAAATAGAGTGAACAATGTTCTCGACGACATCACAATTAATTCCAGCACCATTAGCAGCTGTCAAACCAGATGATACTGATCGTAGTTAGTAATCCGAATTACCAATTCGGATTACTAACACAAAAACAATTGAAAAACATAAAAGAGAAACAAATTAATTAATTATTTTTAATAATATGTGGAAATCTCCGCCTTTTACCTGAAGACGGTCGCGAGACCAGAAACTCGTGTAGTAAAATTATGGAAAATAAAGCACAATGTTTAAAAAAAAAAATCCACATTACAACCAAAAACGTTTGCGGTACCTCTCTTCTTTTTAATATACACACTTTTCTCTCGTTGGAACCACTATAACCTCTTTCTTATACACACACACACACACACACACACACACATATATATATACATATATATATATATATATATATGCCACTAAACTTAGCGTCCAAGGATGTATCACCCTTCTACATCCTCGTAAGAACCCAGCAGTTAGGAATAAAAGAGCATTATGGATATTCAGATTTCTCAAACTTTTATTCCAGAACATTATTCCTCTTAGAACCCGGAAAACACAAAACACATTTGTCGTTAGTATAAATAAGGCAACATGAAATATTTTTATCAGCATCATTCAAGAAGAAAACTTAAAATACAAACATTAAACGAATTTCCTGTATTCTTTACAATTCCCTCTGGCTTGTTCAGTTTTGGTTGGTTGTTCACTTCACTGATCCAGAACAATCCAAATAAAGTCTACGTTCAAATGTCTCTCTATCTTGAATGCTATCAATTAAATGATATTATCTAATCTACAGGGTGGTCCGAAATTCATGTCAACCCCTACCATAATAAAAGTAATGAGAACAATAGAAGAACAAGTAATACAAAGCACATGTACTGGATTCAGTTTATTCATATTCATTAACGCTGTCACACATCGAGAAGGTCTGTATGAACACCATCATCTTCATGCCACAAAATGATACAACGCCATGTCCTGTGTGATATTTTACGAAGCTGTGCTTTGTTGATTGTTGCAAAGGTTCTCTGAATGGCGTCCTTTAACTGATGGGTATTCTGGTATCGTTCATGTGAAACTCCCTCCTTGATAATACCCCACAGTGCGTTTCAATAGAAAATTACATTGTATACGTGTGACAAGACTTTCGTACCCCTCCCCCTGTAGACGAATATGAAGCAGTTACAGATTATATTGAGCAATTGGGAAACATGACCTCAACTACTAAAAATTAGAAATCAATATCAAAATGTTGGAATAACTCGTAAGACACATTCGAAATGACCTGTGCATGGAAACCACTTAAAAGTGTAAACTAAGCAAATGACTAAGGACCATGTTTCGCGTTATAGCACCTGCTTCTTTTTTCAAAGAAGGTGGTGCTTGCAAAAACGGCCGTAAAACAATTCCCAAGGTGGATGAGACAGGAGTTTTTATTTTCGTACAGAATATAAAATTCCGCTTCCAATGTTATAACGGTGTGGGTGTGACGATAAACTATATCCGCTTCCTGGGTAAGACGAGACTACGCCCGAAAGCAAGACCTCTGATCAGGAAGTTTTGAGGAGCGTGGAACCACCTCTTAATTGCCGTTGTTCTCAGGTTCATCCTGACCCAGGGTGGTAGCACCTGTTAGGGTCCCTGCTATGGGCAAATAGTTAGCCGCCAAACTAGAGGGAACACACTATGAAAGTGTAAAAATAGGTTTTAATACCAGAAATAATTTGTAAAAATTATTGCCAGTAATAAATTTTCGAAAAAAATTATTACCAGCTGTATATTATTGCCTGCTATACAAAAAAAGAAAACATTACTAGCAATAAAAATCTTGTCGGCATTAAATTACCCATTTAGGTTGATATACCGTAAAACAAACCAATCCAAAACGAACCAAACCGAACCAAACCAATGTTATAAAACATGTTTTGGTAACATTTTTTCCGGGTACACCTTATATTCACTCTAAATCGACAAGGCTAAATCAATAAAGAGGTGAGTAAAGACACTTTTCAGATTTCTTGCTTAATGTGTCAAACTAAAATTAAATAATAATATGAATGCGTCTAATATTAGTACCACTACTGAGAGTATCGAGTGAATTGAAATTTGAAAATAAGATTCTTTAATACATGTATTTGTTTTGGACCTGATAATAAAAGACGAAAAAATAAATGGCTGATATCTTAGACGTGGTGAAGAGAAATAGTTCGAACGGCTGAATTTATCTAATAATAAAACCGAACAGTAGAAGAAAAAATACTTTCTGTTTTCCTTCTTTCTTTTTCTTTTTTTCCTTTTCCAATTTTCCTCGTTCAATTGTTATCCTAGTAAAGCCAAAGCCGAAAATAATTTTTGCCAGACAGCTGAATAGTTTAGCAGACAACAATGTCGACCAATGGAAAGTTTTGGAATTAAAACGTAATCAATAGTATCGATAAAGTGGAAAATCTCTCGTTAAAGACATTTTTAAAAAAAAATTATTGCTTAGTTCTAAATATATGAGAAAACTTGCGAAAGATAACGAATATGCTGGTTATAGCTGAAAGAAGGATAAAAAACGTAATTTCATCATAGATTAGACGCCTTTCCTTTCTACCATCATATTTATCATTGTTGTTATTTATAACATTTATATGCTGAAAAAAAGAAATCTGGTATATCTGATCATGTATAGAAAGAAAAAAATCTGGTATAGCTGATCATGTATATAGAGAAAAAGACATTAATTTTTGTATAACAGGTTCAAAATAGTAGACATATATTATTTTGGAGAATAACACGCTTAAAAGAAGCTGCATGCTCGCCCTGCTTGAATCATCTAATCAGTTGGCAGAATATAAATATTAACCACTGGCAGTAGAGCCCGGCGTTACCCGGGGATGTAACAGTAAGAGATAGATCAATTATCGACCATCATAAAGACTGAAAAATAAAATTGACAAAGATTATTGTTTAAGGTTGACGGGCACGCATGTCTTAATTTTTTTTGTTGTTTTTTTTTTTTGTTTTTACGAATTGGTCAAACCCAAACTCAAACAAAAACATTGTTTTCAATCGTTATGAGTCTACTGATTGAATAGAATTTTATTATAAACAATTGTCTTGTAAATGGAATTTTTAAAGCATTCTGAATGTCAAAATAAAGAAAAAAGTGTGCAAGACAATAAGAAACACTACCTGCCAAAAAAAGCGAAGTTTTGTTGAAATCGATTGAAAAATGTAGGAAATCCAATCCCATATATAAACGAACACACACACACACACACACACACACAAACAACCTGGGTTTTATAATAAGTATAACTCGATATGAGTTGTCCCCCTTTCATTCTGGCGACAGAATCGTGTTTTATCGTGTTTTCGAATTGATTTCGTGCAAAATCAATTGTGTTTTTCCAATTTTTGGCGCTGTCAGAACCACCGCAAGGTAATTTTACGTAGTCCTGTGAAGTTTTGTTGAAATCGGTTGAAAAATATAGGAAATCCGATCCAATATATAAACGTGCAGACAGACAGACACACACACACACACACACAATATGCGTTTTATAATAAGTAAGATCTATGTGAGCCACTAATTAAGAAACACTATAGACTAAGTGAGACCTCCAAAATTCCGCTGTGTGTGCGTTCAAGGAAACATTAGTAGAATAAAACTGCTGGTAAACTCATCTAATTCCAGAAACATGGAAGAGGGTGCGGGCTGATATTTTTTTAAGCTTTGTGCAGTGTGGCAAAAGGCCGAGAGGAGTCGATATCATTAACCCGCTAATTCTTGGGACTAATACACTTGCGAGTGTACCAAGAAGCATTCATCATCACCATCATTATCATCACCGGTTCCATGCCCAGGTGTGGTCGTCGGGAAGCTGCGTGGTTGAGTACCTAAACTGTTCCTTTCATATAAGTTGGAAGTGCCTAAACTGTTCCTTTCATAAGTTGGAAGCCGGAGGGGTATTCATTCCTACGTAGCGTGTCTTGAACAAAATAAATCTGGCGAATCTCATCCCTCCCTAGGTCAAACCTGTTGTGGAGTGATTTCACAGTGGAGGCTTGTATTTGTACTAAGTCGGTCCTAAAATAGGTTCGACGTACAAAACGTTAGGAACTTGATATAATAGGTATAACGCATACTAATCTAGTTGTGGTCACTGATACTTTAGTATCCGACTAACGGTCGTCCGGCATCGACTGACTGACCGACCCACTGAGCGGTATTCAGTCATACGCGGGCATCATGTGGCACAAAGCCGGTTTAACGTGGGATCTCCGAGCCCGTGGGCTTGACCAAAAATATGCCCTTTGAACCCGTATAAACGGGTTCAGGGTCGGTTTACCTCCCCGAAAGAGAACCCGCCCATCGGCGTAGCCTCGTTCGGGTTCCTCCCCGCCCGAAGGCAGAGAGTTCAACCGGTCAGCCGGTCGTCCGACTTCAGACCGACCCACTGAACGACTGCTCGTTACTATTACTGCTCCTACTTATTATAGGTGGGAGATTCTATTAAGTATAGAATAGGTGT